ATTTTCTCCACATGAATTAACTTTTTAGAGTTGAGTTAAATCCAAATGAAAATGACATGGATGAGCTCCCTCTGTCCGTAATTACTTGTCCACTTTTGAATTGACACACACATTAAGAAAATAATAATTGATATAGTGAGTTTACCATTTTACCCCTATTAATTATGAAGTGGGTGAATTAAAAACTTAGGATTTTCAAGAAGTTCTACCCTTTTCAAATTAATTAATTGAGGGTATAATGGGTAAACAAATTTTGTCCTTTCTTGATTTGTCAAAATTGACAAGTAATTAAGGACAACTAAAAAAATAAATGTGGACAAGTAATTAGGGACAGAAGGAGTATGAGATATTTTAGGAATTTGTTTAAAAATAAAAAGAGTCCAGTTCTAGATGCAACCACTATTAGAATTGACCTTTGGTGGGTAGAGAAATTTAGAATGTGAAACCATTCAATTAAAAAGAAAAAGAATTGAATGTTTCCATTTAATTTCCATCAACTTTCCTCCACAATAAGTTTGCTTATCAAGAGTCCCTCTAGTCCATAAGAGTGAGTGAGACATGTCTATGAAATATCTTGGAAACTTCCCTTTAATTTCTGTTAACCTTCTTTGGGGTTTGTAAATGGGTTGACCCAAAATTAATTTTGAAGGAACAAATAATTACTTGTGGCTATTTTATATATACTAGTCTCTGGACATGTGCGTTGCACGTGTGTTCTAGGTGAATTTTTATAGATTCGTTAGAACAATAAAAAAATTATGCAAATCATGTGAAGTGAGTAATATTTTTTTAAGGGGAAAGGATTTGATATACTATTTCTATACCAGTAGGGGTATATATGAGTCACTTTCATAACGAGAGTATATTAGCTCTAAATGACAAAGTTAAGGGGTATATCAGGCCCTTTTCTCTTTTTTTCATGTGCATCAAGAAACACCAAATGAGGGTCACATTAAATATCTCTGAGATTTCAGTCATATTCTAGGAGAAACTTGACTTTGTATTCCTTAGGATATTTCATATAATATATGATCATGATTACGTTGGCATCATCTCATCCCATTGACGAATGACTCCTAAATGAATTTTGATCATTTATTTCAATCCACTTGCCCATAATGCGAAAGTGATGAAAAAAAAGAAGACTGATAGAGTTGTGCGGACAATAAATGTAAAAGCAAGTCACTCATTATCTACTAGAGTCTCACTGGTCCATAAGTGAATTATTGGAAGTATGACACATTTTAAAAATAAATAAATTAAAAGTTATTATTTTTGATTATTTTTAAATTGTACAAATAAAAATGATAATTATTTTTTATAGTATGAACAAGTAAAAATCTACGGAAGCAATGATATCATATCATCATATCTCATATATTACTAAAAGTGGGAAGAATCTAAGGCAAAAGTTAGATTACGAAAATACCGTTAAGTATTAATTTATTTTCTTAAAATCATTTTTAAAAATTGCTTTTTCATTTAATAAATAACACAATAATCTACTTTATAGCATTTTTAATTTATATATATGTAACGATATTAAATGGCTCAATAATTAATACTTCACTTTTTCTGATAAAAAATAATAATAATAGTAATAACATAGGTTACAATAAAATTTAATATTTACCTATAACTCTAAATTAATTACCAACGAAGAGTAGTATATGCAGTAAAGAATTATGATAAATGGGGATAGTGAAGAGTCATAGGTTCATTGCATAAGGAGTCATTTTGTTCAAGATGAAGGTATCACTTTCTAAAACTTTTGAGTCACAAAGGATTTTTTTTCTGGGGTAATTAAGAAATCTATCCATGACTATTGAGTTTCATTTTTTCTTTTCTCATGATTATTGAACTTGTGACTTGTCATTTTATGGTGCAAAGTATTGTTAGAGGTGCGCAGGAATATAATTTTCCCTATTTATTTATTTTTAATATTTTACAAAAAATGAATGTGTCAATTACTACTCATTTATTTATTTATATTCTGTAATATAAACATTTATTTGCCTTTATTTCAATTATTCACATGAATTTTGATTATTATAACTCCTATATTATATTAATAATCATGTTCATAATATCATTTGATATTTCATATATTATTGTCCTATGAATAGAGATATTATAAAGGTGCAAGTATTACACAATTTAGTTTGACTTTGCTACTTCTCCACCATTGGTTATGAGGGTGACACATATTCGTAACTTGTGAATCATTTATGTCTTGAAATATGTACCATTCAATTGCTCATTTGAATTTGAACAAATAATTTTATAAAACAGAATAACTTTAGCTAAATAATTATAATGGATAAATGAATATAGTGTTTGATAAATATGATAGTATTTATGCGTTGCACGTTTATTTCTATTTTTTATTATAAAGTTTGTAAAATAAAATAGTAAATAAAAAAAAAGCACTTAAAAAGCTACACAACTTGTAAGGTCACCAAAGCAAGAATTAATATCAACCATACAAAGACTCAAATTTTAAAATTTGAAGTCTTGTCGTGTATAATAATTTTTAATTTGTAGTTATTTATTTGATGAATAGGAATTATACTAGATGCATATTATAATTGTACATATAACCACATATTTATTATCTCATTACACATAATACCTATTAAGCTAAATTTAATTGTTCAATTTTGCAAGTTTAGAGTACATTCTCTAATATTTTGTATGTATTGAACAATTAAGTCATTTGTGTAGACTAATTATTTATCAAATTGAACTTGTACTTCTTTCTTCTGATTTATATACTCATTATACACATGTTTTAATATTGCCTTATAATTTTAAAAAAAATCCTAGTTATATTAAAAGTGGGAAGCTCCATAGTTGAAAGTTGAATTAAAAAAATATCCCCAATCATATTAAAAATAATCACATTGTCCTGATCATTTAATTAATGTATCAAACTTTTCATATCACAACATTTATATCTTTTGTGTTTTAAACTTCAATCAGTTAAATACTCTATACCCTTTTCATATTCTTTGCACTTTATAAAGTTACCACACTATCAAATTTCTTTATCATTTTATTATTACTCCTTTTCTGTTAGACTACACAAAAAACTAGTACTATCGCCCTCTTATTTGTTCAGCTTTGCCCAGCATAAGGTAATACTATTTTTTTTCCCTTTGAACAAGTTCAGTTTCTGTTTACTGCTTAAATATGGCTTGTGTATAAATAATATTTTTTATTTAATTTACTTCACACACTTTATATTTTTAGTTTGCTCCAAAAAATATCACTTTGGGAGTAGCTACTGAACCAAATTCATAAGTATGTATATATTTCATGAGTCTGATTTTGAATCCAACTTTATTGGTTTCATTTAGTGTCATTTTTGGATGCTTTGTGGCCTCTCACTTCTAATTTAATATAGATATTTATTTTTAAAACATTATTAGTATCATACCTAAAGTTGCTATCTTCGTAAAGAAATAGAATAACTCCCAAGCATGTATCTCATTTTGTTACATGACAGATGAATAATATTACATTACAAATATATGTTGCATTTGAATCTACCTTTCAACTGAATTACTGTTCAATTGATCAGTATATACATATTTAAATAGAGTATTATATACTTCATTTTAGGAAGTCTATATTAATTTGCATTGAGACACGTGTCCAAAAATTAGTTATACTAAAAGTGGGAAGAATCTAAGTCAAAAGGTAAATTACAAAAATACTCCTTAACTATTAATTTATTATCTTGAAATTATTTAAAATAGTTTTTTATTTAATATTTATTTTAGGATTCATGAATTTTGACATTATGGTAATTAACACTCCTATTTCTAGTTAGACTTACAATTCAATACTCATTATTAAATTGTAAGTTATTATTAGCAAGAAAACAAGAAAAAAAATCTACAATCTTTACTCTTTCACGTACTAATAGTGATGATTTTTCATAATGATAGTTGCTATGAATTTCTTAATAATTAGTCATAATGATTTTCCTTTACACATTTAATATTTTTAATTTTTTTTTACATATGTTATCCTTAGATTACAATTTTACTCATACATGCATTACATTTAAATGTTATAAATTATTTAATTAATTAAATAGTAAATCATCATATTAGTATACATAAATTTTATTACCACTAATTCTTCATTATGTAAATATATGTAACTCTCAGATTATATTTATTATGATTTTTACTCCTATCTCTCACCATAATCTCAAATGGATTAATCTCATATTCATCACAACTCTTTGTGTTCCTCAATACTATCATATAAATAGTGACATTAGGCACAATAATGTACACACTTAAACCAATTACAAAAAAAAAGAAGAGAAAATATCTATGCTCTCTTCTCTCGTCTCCTTTTATTTGTTTAGTTTAATATTTATGTTTCTTGTTTGTTGTTATTGTACAAATTTTCTATTGTTGTGTTGTTATTATTATTGATAATTTACCATGGTTTGTTGCTTTGTATACATTAGCCTAGCATGTGGTATTTTAGTATCCTCATTTGAATATTAAATTTGTGATAGTTAGTTATTTTTACTTTATACACTTTTAGTCAATTTAATAATCAAATATATATATATATATATATATATATATATATATATATATATATTTAGAAAGATATATGTAGTTCCTACTTGAAAAGTGATGACTTTTTTTAGTAAATACCATAGATTCAAAGGGGATAAAATATGTCATTTGCAATACAAAATTTATATGAAGTATTTTGGGATAAACATGCAACGCACGTTCCCAGATCTAGTAACAAATAAAAGTGAATGAAACATGTCTATGAAATATCTTGGAAACTTTCCTTTCATTTCTGTTAACCTTCTTTGGGGATTGTAAATGACTTGACCCAAAATTAAATTTCCAGGAACAAACAATTACTTGTGGGTATATAAAGTGCTGCTTCACATCTCTATTTATTTAATTAATTAAACAAAAAATTAACTAAAAATCTCTTTAATTTATTGTCATCAAATATGAATACTCAATTTGTTGTAGGAGAATCATCTTCTTCTTCCAACTTATCTTATGATGTGTTTCTCAGTTTCAGAGGTGAAGATACTCGCAAAAACTTCATAGGTCATCTTTATTTCCGGTTGTGTCAAGTCGGGGTTAATACTTTCATAGATGATGAGGAATTGAGAAAGGGAGACGTCATTTCAAACAAACTTGACAAAGCAATTGAACAATCTAGAATTGCCATTGTTGTTTTCTCGAAAAATTATGCTTCGTCTAGTTGGTGTCTTGATGAACTTGTCAAAATTCTCGATTGCAAAGAGAGGTTAAATCAGGTAGTTTTGCCTATTTTCTATGATGTTGATCCTTCTCAAGTGCGAAGGCAAACTGGATCCTTTGACGAAGCTTTGGAAAAACACAAGGAACGATTGGTTGGAGCTGAAAGAATGGAAAAGTGGAAAGCTGCACTTACTGAAGCAGCAGATTTATCTGGATGGGATTTGAGAAATATTGCTGATGGGTAAGACTTCTTAATTCAACTATTAAATTTCGAATTAAAGCGTTTGCCTAAGCTTATAAATTGGTTAATTATGGAACATTGTAAAGTCTTTTAATATTTCTTAAATTTCATGTTAAATCAAACTGTAGATTGGGACAAGGGATAATCTCCATTCTATAAACTCTGTTATCTTTTGGCTATTGGTTTTTATTTTGTTCATCAAATATTTTAAAATACTTAAGTATTTATTGTTGCAAAAACTGTAGGCATGAATCAAAGTTTATTGAAAGTATTATAAAACAAGTTCGGCAAGAGGTTAACCAGACACCTCTAGATGTTGCTCATTACCCAATTGGATTAGATTCTCCTATCAAACATATAGAGTTGTTACTGCAAAGTGGATGTGAGCATGAAGTTCGCATGGTTGGTATATGTGGCGTTGGTGGAATTGGAAAAACAACTTTGGCAAAAGCTATCTACAATCAAGTATTTCGACAATTTGTTGGTAGTTGCTTCCTTTCAGACGTTAGATCAGAAGCTAAAGCATTTGGTTTAGTCAAGTTACAAGAAAAACTACTAAATCAAATTCTCAAAACTAAGGAATTTGAAGTTGGTAGTGTTGCTGAAGGTGTTAATCTCATCAAAGTAAGACTTGGGTCTCAGAAGGTTCTAATTGTTCTTGATGACGTGGATGATAGAAGCCAATTAGAATCCTTAACAAGAGAAAGAAGTTGGTTTGGCTCTGGTAGTGTAATAATTATTACAACCCGAGATGAACATTTGCTTTATGGGCTTACAACAAGTGAGATATACCGGGCCAAACTTTTAAATGATAATGAAGCCCAACAACTTTTTTCTTGTCATGCTTTTAACTATTTTTCTCCACCACAAGAATATGTTGAACTGGCACAAGACATAATAAAATATTCAGGTGGGCTACCATTAGCTCTTGTGACATTAGGGTCACATCTGCAAGGGAGATCCGTTAAAGAATGGAGATATGAGTTCAAAAAACTAAAAGCAATTCCTCATGGTGATATTCAAAAGATTCTCAGGATAAGCTTTGATGGACTTGATGTCAATACTCAGAGTGTTTTCCTTGATATCGCATGTGCCTTCCATGGTTGGTATGAGAATGAAGTTACCATAACATTAAATGCGTGTGGTTTTTATTCTGAAAGTGCAATTTCAACCTTAGTCCAAAGGAACTTGCTCCAAAGGGATTGGCGTTATTTGGTGATGCATGATCTAGTGCGAGATATGGGAAGAGAAATTGTTCGTATGGAATCACCTCGAGACCCTGGAAAACGGAGTAGATTGTTCAACCCTCAAGAAGTTATTGATGTTCTACAAGGAAATAAAGTCAGTAAATTTCATTATCTTTATCTTGATTATACTTCTTCTTCTTCTTTTTTCATTTATATTGATATACATTTGCTTATAATTTATGCATTTGTGCTTAAATCTTCTCCGGCTAGATGTTTGAACCATTATGTACTTGAAATGAACATTTTGCTGAAGTCTAAATACTCAAACTATCAAAGACAAAATTATCAAATAAATATCCTTTAGTTGGATATAATGTATAAATTTATTTTGGCATAATACATATATTGACCCCTAAACTTGGCTTCAAATTTTAACTTTGACCTCCAACTTTCATAATGCACAAATAGGCACTTTAACTATCCAAAACTTAAACAAAAAAACACTCGGATCCTACCTGGCAAAATGCGTGAAATACACTCAAATTAGGCGCGTCAGATGTAAAAATTCAGGGGGTCAACAGTAAAAAAGCATTGAAAGGACAATTAATCCCCTTTTATATTTTTTTCAACAATTTTCCCCTCTTTTTTGCATTATTTGTTGTTTACTGCAAAATGCAAGTGACATTTAATAAAAATTTTTGTTATTACGAAAAAAAATTATAATGAAGTTTTTTTTTGGCAAGAAGGAAAAAGGAACACGTGTAGTACTAATTTTTTTTTTGAGATTCTATCAATTTTTTTTGTCTTTGAAATATTTCTAGCTGTTAATTACTGTAATTTATAGTACTTTCTAAGAAATTTTCAAATAATATTATTATTTCATTTGTCCGAATTTATGCGTCACCGGTAAAATTTGAAGAGTCAATCAGATCTTTTATATATTTTTATATCTTTTAAATATTTAAGTAAGTAATTATCGTGATTTATAATATTTTATACAATTATTTAGTATGGTAAAAGAAATTTAAAAGAAACACGCATCCTTCAATAGTAAAATATGGGTCCCCCTTTTTTTTTACAGGTTGACCTCCTGCCTGTATAGTCTTTTTTTGTCCAGAAGGAAAAAGGAACACGTGTCGACCCCAACGTCCTCTCTATTCCCGCTTATTATATTATATACTAGTGATGAACAGCCCGTGCTAATAATTAATTTAAAAGTTAATTTTTAATTGACATTAAATAAATAGTTTTAAATTTTAAATTTGAATAAATTTTATATATTTATATGGTAGTAAATGTTCATGTTAACTCTAAAATGAATACATCACTATTAATAAAGCTTGAAGTTTAAAGAAAAAATCCTTAAATGACCAAAATAACCCTTAAACTCAATTTTAATCACAAAAAGCATACATGTCCACGGTGTGGTGGCTGATTCATCAACTAATTTTTTGTATGTTTTTTCAGAAATATTTTAGTTGCTAATTTGTTATAATTTATAAAAATCATTAACGTCATTTTCGAATAACTTATAGTATTGTTAACTTTCAATAATATATATTGTTCCATCTATTCAAATTCATGTGTCACCGATAGAATTTCAAGAGTCAACAAAAAAATTTCTAAAAAAAATATATTTTAATTATGATTTATAGTACTTTTAAATATAACGTATAGTGTGTTTGTAGGCTCTTATTAGATTGAAAAAATAATATTTTAAATTAGTAATTATTGTAATTAATAGTGTATATTACGTAATTTTCAAATTTGTAATAAATTTTTTTAAATATTAAGTCTAATAATTTATAGTATCTTAAATGTAATCTTTGAATACACATAAATTAAAAAAAGAAATAAGACAAATAAATTATAAATTGAATAATTGACATTTTCAAATATTAATTTACCACAAAATGAAAGTGAAGGAAGAAGTTGTGAGGCAAAAATAAAGAGAAGGGAATGGAATTAGTGAGGTGGGGTCCATATCCATTAAAATAAATGCATGGCAAATTGAAAAGGTGTCAAATAGACAGGAAAATGGGCCCACATGCATTGAATAGTTGGCAGCCATTGAGTGGGTCACTAATACACGTGGCAGCGCTTGCATTTCACGCTTTTGGCTCCAAAAATCGCGTGTTTATTTATTTAAAGGTAGGAAAGTTCAAGTGCCTATTTGTGCATTATGAAAGTTGGAGGTCAAAGTTAAAATTTGAAGCCAAGTTTAGGGGCCAATATATGTATTATGCCATTTATTTTTATTGGTAGATAATTTATTCTCTTTGTTTGACCTTCAATTTGTATAAAGCATTTCTCTTTCTTAATTTGTCATACTTAAACATGGTCTTACAGTACTTTTCTTTTTACTAAACTGCAGGGTTCTAAAAATGTAGAAATACTAGTGATAGAACGACAAGCATTAAAGGGTGTGAAGCTAAGCACCAAAGCATTTCAGAAAATGATAAATCTTAGGGTGCTTAAAATCGACAACTTACATATTAGTGGAGATTTTGACCTATTGTCCAAGGAGCTCAGATGGTTGTCTTGGGAAGGATGTCCTTTAAAATGTATACCATCAAATTTTCCATCTGAGAAACTTGTATTTCTGAATATGAAAGGGAGCAATATCCAAGAATTTGGTTTGAATTTGCAGGTTCGTTACTCAATTCTGCAATTTTATGTGTAATGTTTAAGAGAAAGAAAATCTTAATTGAAACATTATTTTGTTTACTTTTAGTATTGTAGAAATTTGAAAATGCTGGATCTCTCTGATTGCAAGCGCCTCAGAAAAACTCCAAACTTCAACGGTTCAAGAAGTCTCGAGACTTTGTATCTTCAGAATTGCTCAAGTCTGAAGGAGATCCATCCATCAATAGGAAATTTGGATAGACTAATTATTCTTTGTATGTATGGTTGCAAAAAGATTACGGATCTTCCGAGCAGCATATGCCAGCTAAAATCCCTTCAATTCTTAAACACTAATGACTGCTCATCTTTACAAACACTGCCAGTTGACATTGGAGATATGCAAAACCTAATAATTCTTGATGCATGTGATACGGGTATAAAACAATTGCCTGGATCTGTTGGAATGCTAGGAAATCTTATAATTTTGGAAATGGGAGGTCAATACTTAGAGACCAAAAGGAGGTTTTCTCAAACAAGAGTACGCCCCATAGTGTCCTTGTCAAAATTTATTTCGGCTTTACGCCTTCGATATTGTGGTTTCTTGGAGGTTGATGTTCCTAGGGATATTGGGAGTTTATCCAACTTAACTGTTTTAGATTTGAGCGGCAACAGTTTCCTCTGTCTACCCTTTGATTTTTCCAAGTTACCATTGTTGAATTTCTTGTGTTTGAATGATTGTGTGAATCTTCAAACACTCCCGCCAATATCAAATTTAGAGAAGCTTACAATTGTTGAACTTAGGAATTGCCAAAAACTGGTCAAGATTACAGGGTTGGACAACCTCCCTTCAATAGAGAAGATGGACATGAGAAATTGTACTTCTCTGCAGAACCCATTCAATGAAGGCTTCTTTAGTGCCCCTGCTCTATCAATTCCGTCTAGAGAACATCAACGGTATGAGGTTAGTCCCTCTCCCTCTCTGATCTCTCTCTTGTATCACATTAATAATTAATGATCTAATTGTGTCTTAATTTGTCTGATGAAGCCGTCAGTAAAAATTAATCTCGATAGCAATGAGATTCCAGATTGGTGCAGCAATAAAGTAACAGCTCCATCTATCTGTTTGACTATGCCCACACTACATAATAACAAGTTCTTAGGAATGGTTCTCTGGTTTGTTTGCCACCATTGCGATGTAGATGAGCTTGAACAGTTCGTTGTTACTGTTGCCCATATAAAGCGTTCAGGTTTACCATGGATTTGGCATATATCTGGCAGTCACGAAGTATTTGATATATCTGGCAGTCACGAAGTATCATGTATATATTACTTATCTTCCGCAAATGATGAACCTTTTAAAGGCCTGAACATCAAAGGCGGGGAACAGATAACAGTAGAGGATGGCAGTGACGGAGGCATAGCAAAGAAGATAGGGATCCATTTGTTATACTTGGACCAACATGGTAATGTTACATCTTTGCCGGGAGTTGTGGATCATTCTTATACTCCCTCCTACCCACAAAGACTTTCAGCAGGGCATATCAACTCAAACAACGACAACACATCAAATGAAATCCCCTTTCCCACAAGTGAGACAACGCCTCTAAAAATGTCTTTTTGGAAAATGTTTCTCCGGAGAATAAGTAGGTTTCTTACTTATTTTCTTGTGTTCGTTATGTAAGAAAAAAGTTTGTTCTTAAAGTATTTGTATATTTAGACACTACTATCAATCTGTATTATTCAAAATTCTCATCCAACTACAAGCTGATTTGCTAAAAAGTATTTTTCATTCAGATTTTTTTTTTCATCCTTCAGTTGCCAAACACTCAAAACTTCGATCCTAGTTTTGTCATCCAATTAAAATTTTGCAAGCATAACTAATTGAAAGTGTACATCTAGACATCTCAACTAACAGCTAAACACTCCAATTCATCCTTAATGTGTCTCGTGGACACCCTATACTGACGTGACACATAAATTTTGGAGGTGTCTAAATGATCACTCCAACTAAGACCGAGTTTGAATGTATATTTATGTATTATGCCTTTTTCTAGTGCTAACGTACACCTAATAAAATATGGAAAACAGTAGACACCAAAGCTTAAAGTACAAAGAGGAAAACTTTGAACTAAACAAATGTATATTGTACAATTAATCTATTCAATTAGTACAATCCAAAAGTTAGAAACAAATGGTATTATCATGATTTTGAGGAATATACAAATGGTATATATGCCATAAAGTCATACACCACTTTACAGTATTTTGTCATAAAATATTAAGATAATTCAATATATAGAAAAATGGGACCCCTGGAAGATTAAAAAACTGCATAAATAAATTACATTTTGTTTTTTTCCCCCACAGTAAGGATAAAGCACAAAATCAATATTTGGTTGGCATTCTGATAATATTTAATTTTTATTCCCTTTTTCCTTCCAAAAACACTATATGATATGGTATGATATATACTATAATTATGATAACTTGACGCAAAACAAAAGTATAATCTTAACTTGACGCAAAACAAAAGTATAATCCTAACTTGTGAATTGTTTTCAATTCCATTATTAAAAGTATATGACATTAAACTCATTATGGGGAGAGATGAAGATGAACTTTTGAGTTACATGGAAGAAAGAATCTTACTTTTTATCATTTAAGTCTTAAACAAATTAAAGATGAGACAAAATGTAAAGAATCAATTAAATAAAAAGAATGTAACAACATGTAATGAAGAATAGTTGGCAAAACGAAAAGGAAAAAGCTCAAATATGTCATTGAACTATGAGAAACTGTTCATTTATGTCATTCGTTAAAAGTTGTCTCATCTATGTTATTTCAAATAACAAATAATGACACAGATGAACCTTTATTCTCAAACAAAAATGACAGATAAACTAAACGTTTAACGGATGATATAAATAAGTCTTTCTCAAAGTTCAATGACATATCGAGCCTTTTTCCAAAGAAAAATAATAAGGTACCGTAAAGAAGAATGACTTTGAAATGAATAAAAAGACGTTAAAACCAACATTAATTAATGTGAAAGAGAACAAATCACTTTTAAGAAAAATATTTAAAGATGAATTAAAGTTATTTATTACTATTATATTTTTGATCATTTAGGACTAAAGAATTAGAAAAAATAAATATAAAAAAAAAACATCTCAATAATTCATTTTCTTAATAGATGTTAATATGCTACCAAATTCAAATTTGAAAAATAAAAATAAACAACAAGTAAAAATAACGAGACGGTATCCAAGAAATAACATATATTGGGAAACTTGCCTTTCATTTGGATTAACCTTCTTTGGGAAATGTGAATAACTTAAACCAAAATTAATCACCCATGAAGATACAATAATTACCTGTGGTTATATAAGTATCTGCTTCAATAACCTTTCTGATAACTCCATGAATGGAGATTAGACCTTGGAGAATTTACAGAGCATTTGAGAGAAGAAGAAGGAAGAAGATTGTATTAATGTCTTGATGCAGTGAATCTGTACATACATGCTTATATATATTACTCTTACTATGAATGAATACAAAATATCTCTAACAAACTCTGTAACTAACTATTGCCATGTCATCAGCTGGTAATTGACTCTTGGAATCTTCTAACTAACATAAGCTTTGTTATTTTTGCATTTGCTAACACTCCCCCTCAAGCTTATGGTTGAAATATATTTTTCATTCCAAGATTGCTTAGTAGAAGATGATGTTGTCCTTGTCCAAGACTCTTTGTGAGTAGATCAGCAAGTTGATGCTTGGTGTTAATATATTCTGTCTCCAGTACTCCTTGACAAATTCTTTCTCTTACAAAGTGACAGTCTATGTCTATGTGTTTTGTACGCTCATGGAAGATAGTATTAGCTGCTATTTGTATTGCTGCTTTGCTATCACATACCATTTTTACTGGTACTGTTATATTGACTCCCAACTCTTTGTATAAGCCTATCAACCAAGTTATTTCAGCTGCACATGTGGCCATGCTCCTGAATTCTGCCTCAGCTGAGCTTCTTGACACAGTCCCTTGCTTCTTAGACTTCCATGATATTAATCCTCCTCCAAACTTCACTAAATACCCTGTAACTGATTTTCTTGTTTCAAGACATGCCCCCCAGTCAGAGTCGCAGTAAGCTGTTAGTTGTGTAGTTTGTTCTGCTGGCATTAGTAATCCTAAACCAGGTGTTTCTTTGATGTATTTTACTGCTCTTAATGCTGCCTCCATATGTGACTCCTTAGGACAATGCATGAACTGGCTAAGAACTTGTGCAGTAAAAGCAAGATCCGGCCTAGTCATAGTCAGATAGAGAAGCTTTCCTACCAACTTTTGATACATTTCAGGATTAGCAAGTGGTTTATCATGGTCAGGACTTGAACCATTCATATGCTCATCATATTGAATTGATGTGAGTCTTTTGTTCAGCTCCAAAGGTGTATGAACTGGCTTTGCTCCTCCTAGTCCAGTTGCAGACAGCAGCTCCAAAGCATATTTCCTCTGTGTCATTAGGATGCCCTTATCTGATCTAGAAAACTCAATGCCTAAGAAGAATTTTAATTCCCCTAGGTCCTTCATTTTGAACTTCTTTTGAATTTCCTGTCTTGTATTACATAGGAGTTGGTGGTTGCTTCCAGTGACTAGAATATCATCTACGTACACCAATATCACTACAATATCATCCCCACTTTGCTTTGTGAATAGAGAGTAGTCATAATGACTTTGTTTGAACCCCATCTGGACTAGTGCCTCAGTTAACTTCATGTTCCATTGTCGAGGTGCTTGTTTCAAGCCATACAATGACTTGTGGAGTTTGCAGACCTTGTGACTCTCCCCCTGTCTAGCAAAACCACAGGGAATGTCCATGTAGACCTCTTCATGCAAATCACCATTCAAGAAAGCATTGTGGACATCCATCTGATATATAAACCATCCTTTGGAAGCAGCCAAAGCAACCACAGACCGGACAGTCACCATCTTTGCCACAGGACTAAAAGTCTCACCATAATCAAGCCCTTCTTGTTGACTAAAACCGCGAGCCACAAGTCTGGCCTTGTACCTTTCAACCTCCCCAGAAGCTAAGTACTTAATCTTATATATCCATTTGCAACTAATAGGCCTCTTGCCAGGTGGTAGATCCACTATGCTCCAAGTCTGATTGCTTTCCAGAGCATCAATCTCTGCTTGCATAGCCTGTCTCCATTTAGGATCAGTATTAGCATCCTTAAATGAACTAGGTTCAGAAACAGCTGAGTAAGCATTCAAGGCCATTCTATAAGTCGAAGACAAGTGATTGTAGGACAGGTGATCTGCTAGGGAATAAGAACATGCAATAGACTTAGGCTTAGAAACAAAGTCCTGCAGCCATAGAGGAGGCTTGGTGGACCTTGAGGACCTTCTAGGAAGCACCTCCGGAGCTGGAGGAAACACCTCAGGAGCTGGAGGAAGCACCTCAGTAGCCGGAGGGAGCACACCAGTAGACTCAGGTGAGACTGGTCTAACACAATCAACAGAGGAAGAAGGTGGAGATGGAACCACTGGAGGTGGGACAGGAGAGATATAGTCCAGAATTGGAAACATAGCATTAGGTGAGGCTTGGAAATGTCTGTAAGGAAACAAATCTTCTTGAAACACCACATGCCTATTTACAGAGAACATTTGTGCATGAATATCATAAAGAATATAGCCCTTTTGTGTGGAGGAGTATCCCATAAACACAGTAGGAACAGCTCGTGCAGAAAACTTATCAGGTTTCTGAGGACTTGCAGCATAGCACAAACACCCAAACACCTTGAGATGAGCCAAGTCTGGAGGATGCCTGTACAATTTTTCAAAGGAGGATTTGTAGCCTAGTAATTTTGTAGGGATTCTGTTTAAAATATAAATAGCAGTGAGAACACATTCCCCCCAGAATCTCAAAGGTATAGAAGCTTGAAACCGTAAAGCTCTGGCCATATCAAGAATGGTTCTGTGCTTTCTTTCAGCAACCCCATTTTGCTGTGGGGTATACACACAAGTAGTCTGATGTAGAATGCCCATGTTACTCAATAGAGTTTGAAACGCAGTGCTGAGAAACTCACAACCATTATCAGACCTGAATGTTTTAACACTTGTGGAAAATAAGTTTTGAACTCTTGTAAGAAAATTCTGTATAACAACTAGTGAATCAGCCTTTGAAGTAATCAAAAAAACCCATGTATATCTGCTGAAGTCATCTACAATTGTAACAAAATACTTCTTTCCATTGTGAGTAGGAACTTTATAAGGTCCCCACAGATCACAATGAATCAATTCAAATACAGCAGTAGTGTTATGAACACTTAAAGGGAATGGAAGTTTAGATTGTTTAGCTACAGGGCACACAGTGCAATGAGAACAGTCTGTGAAGTTTAAGGATTTGAGAGACTCATGCCTCCTTATTACATCAATCGGAGCATGTCCTAACCTCCTATGCCAAACATCACTAGAAACAGACTGATGAGATACAGGAGATACACTAGTAGTGTGAACTAACTGTTGTGAACTAGACTTGTGACTTGATTCTTCATGAAGGATGTAGAGGCCATGTTCTTCTTTACCAATCCCCTTCACCTGACCAGTGGAGAGGTCCTGGAAAATGCAAAAATCAGGAAAGAATGCTACCATACAATGTAATTCTTTGGTGAGTTTTG